TAGAAGGTTGGTGCCCCCGGCAGAAGGTCAGTGCCCATGGCAGAAGCTTGGTGCCCGAGGCAGAAGCTTGGTGCCAGTGGCAGAAGGTCAGTGCCTGTGGCAGAAGCTTGGTGCCCATGGTAGAAGGTTGGTGCCTGTGGCAGAAGGTCAGTGCCCGTGGCAGAAGGTTGGTGCCTGAGGCAGAAGATCAGTGCCTGTGGCAGAAGGTCGGTGCCCATGGCAGAAGGTCAGTGCCCACAGCAGAAGCTTGGTGCCTGTCACAGAAGCTTGGTGTCCGTGGCAGAAGGTTGGTGCCCGTGGCAGAAGCTTGGTGCCCATGGCAGAAGGTCGGTGCCTGTGGCAGAAGGTTGGTACCCGTGGCAGAAGGTCGGTGCCCACGGCAGAAGGTCAGTGCCCATGGCAGAAGGTCAGTGCCTGTGGCAGAAGCTTGGTGCCCGCAGCAGAAGGTCGGTGCCTGTGGCAGAAGGTTGGTACCCGTGGCAGAAGGTCAGTGCCCATGGCAGAAGGTCAGTGCCCATGGCAGAAGGTCAGTGCCCATGGCAGAAGGTTGATGCCCGTGGCAGAAGCTTGGTGCCCGCAGCAGAAGGTCAGTGCCCACGGCAGAAGGTTGGTGCCTGTGGCAGAAGGTTGGTGCCCGTGGTAGAAACTCAGTGTCCATGGCAGAAGCCTGATGCAGGTGGTAGAAGGTCAGGGGTTGACACGGTAGAGAAGCCTGCCTCTGTTCATGCGTGCCTGCCTGTGCTTTCCTGGAGACGCCTTTGGCACTGGGGCCACAACCTTCTGAATTTAGAAACAGCCAAAAACCAAACAGCACTGGATCCTGTGACAAAACAGGCAGGTGTCCTTTCGGTAAAAAGCGAGGCACGAACCTCAAGTATCCAGAAGCACCTTCTTGTACATGTGATTTCTGCAGCTACCTAGTTTCCTGCTGGACGGCCGGCGCCAAAGCAGGAACCAGCAGCCAGGCTGGCTTGCCCTCAGGGCGCGGGGCCATCTCCGGCTGTTGCCGCTTCCTGCCAGTTGCTCATGGCTCAAAGCTCCTGGCCCTGGGTGCTGGCTTCACCACCGAGCCTGTTGGGCTGTGGTTTTGGAAATCTTTTTCTCTTCTTTTCCTTTGTAAAGACTCTGACTAAAGAGAAAGCAGACGTTTCCAAAGGAGGAGCCACAGACGATGAGCGGAGCTGGCATTTCTGGGCTGGGGCCCCTTGGGGTGGGGTACCCCACAGAAGTAGCTAGGCCACACAGGGCTGAGTTCTCGACAGTGTCATAGCCAGCCCACTAGGCACAGGGAGAGCCTTCTGAGCCCAGAAAGGGGTGCTGGGGGACTCCAGAGTTTAAAGCCCATTGGGTTGGTGGGGGCTGCCCAAGTGACAAGGGGCCAGTAATGCTGCCGCTGCAGGAAGAGTGAGCGGCTGCGGAGACAGGGAAGAGGGTGCTGGGGTGGAGAACCAAGCCTGGGCGGGGACCAGGCGCCCTGATACCCCACTCCATGCAACAGCCATGTTCCTCCGGCACCTGGCTCAGGGCCGAGCTGGGTAGGTGCCCAGCAGATGTCTGTGAGACAGACGGTGACTGTTTCTTTGTTCAGGACAGTCCCTGAGTGAGGCCGCCTAGCTGGGCAGTGAGGGACCCTTGAGGGCTGGGTTCTGTGGCCAAACCTCCTGGTGAACTTCTAGAAGGAGGTATTTTGTATTTGTTTAATTCTTTTGAAAGGACTCTCCCTATATAGCTGGGGCACTGCCTCGACCTTCGTGATGTGACTTGGCAACCGCTTCCGAGGTGAGAACCACGCTGAGATCAGAGGCCCCAGAATCGGAGGAGCGTGTTCTCACACTGAGAGGCCCCGCTCAGGGAAGATCCCACACTGCCTCCTGATCAGCTCCCTATCCACCCTTCCTACTAGCCTTCTTCCTCCTCGTCCCTCCCATTTTCCAAGTACAGCCCTGAGGCCAAGCCCCGTGAAGTGGCAGCAGGCGCCTGGTCCACCTCTCTGCAGAGCTTCTGTGGCTCATGGCCCGCCTCCTCCTTCCTAGTCCAGTCCCTTGGGGCCGTGTCTGCAGGGTCCCTGGGCTTGCTGGGCCCCCACCACTCTCACTGCCGGGTGGTCTCCACAGGGCACCCCTCTGGGGGGCAGGTGGCATCTGGGCAAAGTCTTGGGGGGACTTCCTCTCCAGGCCCTGGGTGCCTCGATTCTCCATCTGTGATCTATGGGTAAGGTGACGCTGGGCAAGGCCTCAGGATGAGTGTGGCGTGTGGCATGCACTTGGTACCAGCCTGCCGTTCCAGCCCTCTCTCATGTTGCCTTCATGCAGAGACCGGGGGTGTTGAACTATCTGAGCACTCTGGCTGACGGTGATTGTGGAGTTTTCATAACTGGGGGCAAACAATGCGTGCCCAGTTCACCAGCTGCTTCTTTCCTTCTCGGGGGGCACTGGGGGCCTGCTGGGCAGTGAATGCCTTATCCTGGAGGTCTAGCACCTGCCAGGCACGCAGAGAGTGAGGAAGGGTTCCCAGGATGAGGGCAGAGTTTCCAGGCCTGGCTCTAGCACGGCTCCATAAACTTGAGAAGCTCCCATTTCCCATTTATAGATATGGGCAGAGCATAGCTTCAGCCAGACTCTTGAGGTCAACATCATGACTATAAAGATGACCAGGCACTGAGCCCTCACCACAGGCTAGGCAAGATTTCATTAATGCCTCTTAACAGTAATGGCCACGGAGGACCAGCCAGGGCCTGGGCAGCAATCTGGAGAAACATTCACTGAGTAAGAAACATCACGGCAATAAAACAAAACAAAAAACCATCTGCCACTGAGTTATTCTGACTCATGATGACCCCCAGGTGTTTCAGAGCTGCTCCACCAACCCTGCTTGACAGGGTTTTCAATGGCTGTGACCTTTCAGAAGCAGCTCAGCAGGCCCTTCTTCCGAGGTGCCTCTGGGTGAGTTCAAACTGCCAGCCTTCCAGTTAGTAGTCCAGTGCTTAACTGTCTGCACCCCCAGGGACCCCTCTCATCACAGCCATCTAGTAGACTAGGCCCAGCCCTGAAGCTGCTAAAAACCAGAGAGGAAAATCGAGCGGGACCGTGGGGAAAGGAGCAGGTGGCGGCAGGCCAGCCGCCAGCTGCATCCATCTCTGGCCTGTAAGGGGCTCACGGTACCTTGAACCACGAAGTTCACTGCCTGCCGCTCTGCTTGTGCCCGAAGCTTCTGGTCCCGTGCGTGGATCCTTGGCAGGGGTCTCCTTCTGCCCATGATGGACGCCACGTACCCTTTGGTCACCCGAGGAGAAAGCAGGATGAGTGACAGTAATGAACGGGCAGCACAGCATGCTGGTGGACACATGCCCTTGGTGGGTGATGCCCGGAGGCCTTGGAAGGACTGCTACCCACTGGAAGGTGACCCCAAGAGTGCTACCAGGCGTTTCCTCTGGGGCCTCTTGGTCTATCTCTACGGCAAATAGGTACAGGGATGGGAAGGCAACGACCCCACAATGGGATGGCCTTTGCTTGCCTGGTTGTAAGATTCTGCATTCTTTTCTGACATCCGGCTGAGCTCAGATCTGAAGTAGGACAATGGAGGGAAGTTTTTACACTATAAACCCCAAAAGACCCAAATCTGTTGCCGTCGATTCCAACCCATGGTGACCCCATGTGACAGAGTAGAATTGCTTTATAGGGTTTCTTGACTGTAAGCTTGCTGGAAGCAGATCGACAGGCCTTTCTTCTGATGTGCCACTGGGTGGGCTTGAACTGCCAATTTTAGATAAGTAGTGGAACACAACCATTTATGCCACCCAAGGACCTCAGAACACTCTGGAAAGTGCTAACAGGCACCTGTGGAAGTTGGAGTACAGAAGTAATCCTGCGCTATGTGACAGAGAAAGGCATCGACAAGATTCCCAACGAAGGAGGGGTTGGTGGCCTGAGTTAGATTCCACGTCCCTGCACGTAGAGGTAGATCCAAGTCTTCTGGGGCCTGAAGCTTATGCAATTTTGGGGCCCTCTTTAAGAAAATGAACACAAATGAGCTGCATTGGGTGAATATATTCCTGATCAGTGAGGACTTCTGTTTTAACTAGGCATCATCCTCTGCTTATGATTTTTCATGTCAGAGGACTGGAAGAATTTCCCACATACATAATTATAACAGTGACAATGTATTGAGCACCTACTATGTGCCAGGCAATGTATAATTAAAGTCTCCTAATAGCAACTGGCAGAAAAGGTATGCGTCAGGGTTGTATCCTTTCACTATACTTATTCAATCTATATGTTGAGCAATTAATCCGAGAAGTTGGACTCTATGAAGAAGTTTCATTCTGTTGTACATAAGGTCACTATGAGTCAGAACCAACTCAGCTGTAGACTCACTTGGATATTCCATGTAGAATATCATACCTACAGATATGGTCTCCTACTTTCCTTTCCATTCTTATATCTCTTATTTCTTTTTTTATTCCATTATCTAGAACAGTGGTGTCCAGCAGAACTCTCTGTGATTATGGGCATGTTCTGTCTCCACTGTCCAATATGGTGGCCATAGCCACATGTGTCAATCAAGCACCTGACATGTGGCTAATGTGACTGAGGAACCCGATTTTTAATTTAATTACTTAAAATTTAAATAGCTTCATGTGGCTAGTTGCCACTGTATTGGGTGGTGTAGGTCCAGAGCAACAGCGAATAGAAGCACTGATAGGGGACGTCCTTGTCTTGTGCCTGATGTTAGTGGGGGATGTTTCTAATGTGTCATTTTAAAGTGTGATGTTTATTATAGGTTTTTGATAGATGACCTTTGTCAGGTTAAAGAAGTTCTCTTCTAGTTCTAGTTTGCTAAATTTTTAAAAGTCACAAGTGATTGTTGAGTTTTGTGAATACTTTTTCTGTATCCATTATTGATCCTCTTTTTTTATTGTCTGTTTTGTTAACTTCTGCTCATATATTTGCTATTTCCTTCCTTATTCTAAACTAAAAAGTTTATTCTGCTGATCTTTTTAAAATTTCTTGTGTTGAATATGACTCATTTATGTTCACATATTTCTTTCTTTTTAAATAATCTTTTAAAATATTCATTTACCTCTAAGTGAAGTGCCAGCTTGACCGTGTCCAACAATTTATGTGAGATACTTTTAGTGACTACCTTTTTATTGTACTGTAGTCACAGAACTTGGTGTATTCCATTTTTTTTGAAATTGGTTTGGGTTTCCTTTGTGGCCAAATTGTGGTGAAATTTTATAAATATACTATGTGCTTTTCATAAGAATACATATTCTCCATTTTATTTATTTATTCAAACAAAACAAAGGACAAAACAAAAAACCAGTAGCTGTCAAGCTGATTCCAACTCACGGTGACCCCACGTACTGCAGAGTAGAGCTGTGCTCAACAGAAATTTCAAGGCTGTGATCTTCTGGAAGCAGATCACCAGGTCTTTCTTTTAAGGTGACTCTGGGTGGGTTTGAACTGCCAAACTTATTGTTTTTTTTAATTGTACTTTAGGTGAAGGTTTACAGAACAAATAGATTCTCATTAAACAGTCAGTACACATATTGTTTTGTGACACTGGTTAACAACTCCAGGACATGTCAACCCTCTCTCTTCTCGACCTTGGAGAACCTTTTTTTTGGTGAAAATATACACAGCCAAAGTTACACCATTTCAAAAGTTTCTACATGTACAATTCAGTGACATCGATTACATTCTTCCAGTTGTGCTGCTGCTATTCTCACTATCCTTTTCCAAATTATTCCATCACAATTATCTTCAACTCACTGCCCCCTAGGCTTCCCAGCAAACCTTTTGAGTTGCTGTTGTCAATTTGATCTCACATAATTTTTTTTTTTTGGTACCTTAGATGAAGGTTTGCAGAATGAATAGTTTCTCATTAAACAGTTAATACACATATTGCCTTATGACAATGGTTAACAACCCCACAACATGTCAACATGTCAACACTGTCCCTTCTCAACCTTGGGTTCCCTATCACCAGCTTTCCGGTCTCCTCCTGTCTTCTAGTCCTTGTGCCTGGACTGCTGTGCCTCATTAGTCCCGTTTTGTTTTATGAGGCTGTCCAATCCCCAGCTGAACAGTGAACTTCGGTGGTGACTTCACCACTGAGCTAAAAGGGTGTCCGGGGGCCATACTCTC